TTAAATTTGGGGGATGCACCCGGAGTGGCCCTGCAGATTCTGGTCCCCCCATGTTGCTCAGGCTGATATTATGGCAGAAGCCCCAGGATGGGCAGAATCAGCCCCTCACAAGTGTTGGGATGGGGCAGGAAGGTTCCCACCCAGCCAGTCCCTTCCAACCATCGAGTGGTTTTGTTTCCTTCCAGGCAAACACGAGGAGAAGCAGGATGAGCACGGCTTCATCTCCAGGTGCTTCACCCGAAAATACACGTAAGTACCAGGGAGGAGGGGAGACACCTGATGCAGCCTCCTGATGTCTTTGGGGACGTTTTCCCACTCACTCACGCCCTCCAAAGCCCACTGACCAAACCGGGAATGCTGCTCAGCCAAACTGGGAGTGGGAGAAGCAGCGATTTGGGGCTGAGCGTGTCATCCCCTGGGTTGGTGCTGCCCCCTTACCTCCCCCTCCCCTTCCCTCCCAGCCTTCCCCCTGGTGTGGAAGCCACGGCCGTGCGGTCCTCGCTGTCTCCCGATGGAATGCTGACGGTGGAGGCCCCCCTGCCCAAACCCGCCATCCAGTCTGCCGAAATCACCATCCCCGTCACCGTGGAGAGCCAAGCCAAGGAGCCGGCCAAGAAGTAGGCGGCACCGAGGAGGAGGAGACAGAGGAGGAGGAAGAGGAGAAGCCGCCACTGCCCCCCCGCCCCCTGCTGCCCCCTCACACCCACCCCCTTTTTACTGTTGATTTTGTACTCGCCCTGCCACTGAGTGCCTTGAATAAATGTGAAGGAACCGACAGAATCAGCCGGAATAAAAGCTGGTGAAAGAAACCTGTCCTTGTGCCTTGTCTGCCCCCTGGAACCACGGCTGTGCCATTCCTGCTGGGAGCTGCACTGGCACCAGAGCACCGGGACGGGGCTGCCTGGGGCCAGAGTGGCCAGCAGGAAACTGTCCCGAGCCCTGCCCAGCACTTGGGGTCTGTAACCCAGGGCTCCACATCCCAGGTGTTCTCATTCCGAGTCTTCACAACCTGGGCTCAACGTGCTGGGGTCAATGTCCTAGAGCTTCACACCCTGAGTCTCCCTATCCTGGATATCCCACACCTGGGTCTCCTACCTCTCAGCTCTCCATATGCACCTCCAGCATTCTGGGGGCTTTACATCCCAAATCGCCGGCATCTCTGGTGCTCACGTGCCAGGTCTCCAACATCCCTGTTTCAGCATCCCAGTTTTCCACAATCTGGGTCTCCTACATCCCAGGCGTCTCCAATCCCAGATCTCAGCACAGGGAGTCTCCTCATCCCTGCTCTCCCACACTCAGGGTCTCCACATGCTCCATCAGAATATCTGGGGTCTCCTCACCCCAGTGTCACCATTCTAGGATGCTGCATCCCTGAAAAAACAAGTACACAAACACCCCCTTCGGGTCAGAGGGCAAATAGGGGTTTCATGGGCAAGAATCCACCCCAGCAGTGCAGCCCCTTGAGCCCCAGCCCTGCCCCCCAGTGCTTCCCCTTCCTTCCACCCCATTGTCTGAGGGGCTGGCTTGGGGGTTCAGCTCAGGGGGTTCAGCTCAAGGGGTTAAAGCCTGGGGGGGCCGAAGAGGGGGTGGGTTGTGGTCTCGGTGCCATTTGGCCCCGGCTGGCCCCGTGTCCCCTGTGCCCTCCATGCCCCCGGGTCCCTGAGCAGGACTGGCCCTACATGGCTGAGGTCAGGCCCACGGCTTCGATGTCCCCCGATGTTCCCTGATCCATCAAATCCCACTAATCCCCCCTGAGTCATCCCGCTGGCAGACGGTGACCTGGGAGGAATCCTGCAGCTGCGAGGCTCCTCTCCGAGCTCGGGGGGCTCCACGTGCCCCCGAGCCCCTCTCCCCACCCCTCTGCAGTCTGGGTGTGATGAGTTTGGCAGGTCTCATGGAGATTGGGGATCAATTCCTGATCCCGGTGATCAATTCCTGCTGCCAGGGGTCACGCCTGGGGGGTGCTGGGGGGGGTTCCCGCCTGTGTGTGAGTCGGGGTGTGAGGCTTTTCCAGCCCAAGCCTGACTCCAGGGGAAGAAGCCCCCGCGGAGCATCCCCGGCCCCCTCCCCTCTCCTGTGGTGACTTTCGCTTCCCGAAAAGCGCCGAGCCGGGGGTGGCGGCTGTGGCAGCTCCGTGGCAGCTGGGATGGGGGTGGGGGTGTCCCTCCCTGTGCGGGGGTGCTCGGTGAGCCCCCAGCCCCTCCTGTTCCCAGCCCCTTGCCGGGGGTGTGGGTGCTGCAGCCCCGGATCCCTCGCAGGGCGCGTGAGTCAAGGCGCATTTTCTGTTTATAGTTTCCCGGGGAGGGGAGTATTTTTACAGCGTGAGTCACCGCGCGTGTGGCTGCGAGCGGAAAACCATCGGGCAGGGAGGGAGGTGGGGAAGGACGGAGGTGGGGAAGCGCCCACCCAGCCACTCCTGAAGCCACGGGACCCTCCCCACGGCTCCCACCGGCCCGCTCTGCCCCGCGGAGGAGCCGCAGGGATGCGGATCCTCAGCAGCAGCAGCAGAAGGGAGGCGGCCCCAAGAGCAGAGCCCAGGCCATTCCCGAGCCCCCCCGATCCCACGGAGCCCCCCAGAAAGTCGAGACAGGCGATAACAATTAAGCAGCGCTGACGTCAGATCTGTAAGTTTATTTGCTCAATGTACGACGGCTACATAATGACTCACATTCATGATATTCCATCACTGAGGAAAAACTGCTAAGAATGGTCCGTGTGTGAAATAATTCCTTACAGAAACACGGAGTTGGAAAAATAATCACTGATTAGACCTTAAAAATAGTTCACTGCATAACATGACAAAAAGCACAAACAAAGGCTCATTCAAAGAACACAGTCATTGTTCTCCTACACTGTAATAGTTATAATTTCACCATGACGAACACCAGACATTAAGATTAAGCTAACACTGGTGTTTTCTTTTGCTTTTTTTTTTTCCTTTTTAAAAACAAAATCATATATAATTGCATGTCACTATAGCAACATCCATAACAGATCAGTTTGTTACGATCACTATTTGGTAGAGCAAACTTTACCCCCGAAAAAAAAATAAAGGAAAGAAAAATAAATTAAAAAACTTTAAAAAATTTTTGAAGACTATTTTGTCATAGGAATACATAACATCTACAGTATAAGTTAATAAATTTCAAGCTACTGTATAGAAATACGACACTAGCATGCACAATATTGTATCAATAGAGTAATGGAGCAGTAATCATTTCACTGGAGAGACAGTATCATAGGCAAGTGCATCTCTTAAAAAATGAAAGAAACCATTCAAGCTGCTTAAAAATCAAGTCCCTGACCCCCACTCCGTTTTTAGCCCTCTTGTGCCATCTCTCCTGCATAAGTTTCCTAAAGCAGCCAGAGCAAAAAGCCAAAAAGAGTAGTAATTATTTGGAAAAAAAAAAGAAGGAAAAAAAAAAAAAAAGAAGATAGGTTTTGTAATTCCAGTAAATCACTTCCAAATTATACAGCTGGGACAACACTGCTCACGGGACACGGGGGTGGATGAGGGGGACATCAGAAGCCTAAAGCATCTCCCGGTCCCGGCACGCAGCGGCACCGCACAGCCCTCGCCGCGGGACGCTGCACCCCAATTCCCCGCGGGAGACTCGGAGCAGGGGAACCCCGGCCTAAAGAAAAGCCGGGCCAGGGCCGGGCCAGGGGCTGGAGCAGTGTCCGTCCCCCCCGGGCCCCGGCGGTGCCGTGTGTGCCACAACGCGCCGTGTGCGGCTGGCTCTGCAAGGGACGGGGAAAGCCTGGTTCCAAAATCAGCATCACAATCACAATAAGGAATTAAAGCACGAGCGCGGTTTCTCCTCACTGCGCAGCGCTGGGGGAAGCGCTGCAGGGCGCAGCGCTCCCAGCAGTGAACCTCCAACAACCATGGAAAAAAATCAAAATTAAAGGTAAATTTACTCAAAATGGGGTAAGTATTACCTGCTAAGCAACTCAGATGCCCCGACTCCCGCCCCCGGCCGGATCAGACAGACCCAAAAGATTTTGCTAAGAAGAGAACTAAGTTCCTGGGCTCCCGATGGTGGATAGAAATGTCTATGATTGTAGCTCTTCCCTTGAGGAATTTCTCTACCAAATTAGCGTCTAAGCTCCTGAAGTTCACTCATTACACCACAAGCTTCCCCAGGAGAAAGGAAAATGCACCCGGCTTCCCTGGTGACAAACAAGGGAGCCCTGGGTGCCGGAGATCTGCTGACAAACCTCATGGTACAGTGGGAGAAAGTCAGGCAGAGTGAAATGGCAGTGCAATCCCTGAGGAAGCAGCTGTGGCACCTTAAATCAGGATGGTCTTTTGAAATACCAAACACAGTACATGACATACAGACCTGAATGCTCTTTTTTTTTAAATTTTTTTTTATTGTTTTTTATTTAAGTGGCATTTTTAAGTTTAAACACTTCCCCCTTTGTCTAATTAAGTTCTTAAACCTTTTGCTGTGGACTTAAAATAGTTGAAACAGCCGCTAGCCAAGCACCTGTTAAGCTGTTGACCAAAAAACTAGAGCAGCTTTGATGTTCCTCGGGCGGGCGGTCTTCTTGCCTTGGGCGACACAGAATAGCTAAAGCCAGTCCACAGGCGAGGACTGCTCAGGAAGGCAAGCCAAAAGAACTAGCAAAAGAAAGAAAAACAGACAATCAAAGGCTTGATGTCATATGGCTGTAATGTAGAAATACTGTAAACTGCAATTTAGTGTTAATACTGTAAGCTACCCTAATAAATATCGCAACCAAAAAAAAAAAAAAAATTAAAAAAAAAAAGAAAAAAGAAAAAAAATTGGATGGCCTAAATCCCAGGGCTTTGCGAGCCCCAAATTCTTTAGTTTGGTTGGTTTTATTTTTAATTCCTTCTCAATTTGGGGATTTGCAGCTGCACCCTGGCAGGCAGAGCGCTGCAGAGAGAGGCCCCGCGACGTGGAGCGGGCACACGGCACCTGGGCTGCGGAAACAAACGCTCAAAGCCTTACTGGAACCACAGAACTTCCTTTTTTTTTTTTTTTTTTTAAATGTTTTTGCGTTGCTTTCCTTAAAAACGAGGGCCATTCCATCCACGCAAATTCGTCTTAAAACCCTTTTTTTATTTCTAGCAATAAAGTTAAATTAAAGACAGCTCCACTTGTATTAATAATCTACAGAACAGTCCATATGCCAGTGAGGCTGCTATTCCATACCAGCACAGCCAGCCTGACTTCCACTAGTGGTGTTTTGGCAAAAATGTCAACGAGGCAATCAAAGACAGGTTGTGGGGGGCCTCCCTGGGAAGGTGTCCCCTCCCTTTCCCTCCCCCACCCCGGACCCCCCCCACTCGTGGGAAAAAAATAAAGACTGCAGTAGTTAGCATCAGCGTGCGGCTGCCAGTCCATCGGGGGGGTCTAGTTGTTGCCTTCTCCGCCGTCGTCGTCTTGCTGATCGCTCGTCCAGAGCGTTAGGTTGTCGCGGAGGAGCTGCATGATGAGCGTTGAGTCCTTGTAGGAGTCCTCGTTGAGGGTGTCCAGCTCGGCAATGGCGTCGTCGAAGGCCGTCTTGGCCAGGTGGCAGGCCTGCTCCGGCGCGTTCTGGATCTCGTAGTAGAAAACCGAGTAGTTAAGCGCCAGCCCGAGCCGGATGGGGTGGGTGGGCTGCATGTGCTCCTTGCTGATCTCATGGGCTTCGCTATAGGCCTTCTCCGAGGACTCCACCACGGTCGCCCTCTTCTCCCCGGTGGCCACCTCGGCCAGGTAGCGGTAATAGTCCCCTTTCATCTTCAGGTAGAAGACTTTGCTCTCGTACTGCGTCTCGCTGCAGTTCTTGATCAGGTAGTTGTCCAGCAGGCTCAGCACATCCTGGCACACCGCTTCCAACTCCTTCTCGATCTTCTCGCGGTAGGCACGCACCATCTCGATCTTCTTCTCGTTCCCATCCGCAGAGGTCTTCTGCTCGATGCTGCTGATGACTCGCCAGGACGAGCGCCGCGCCCCCACCACGTTCTTGTAGGCGACGGACAACAGGTTCCTCTCTTCGTTGGACAGGGGCTCGTTCAGCTCCGTCACCTGCGTGGAGAGAGCGGGAGAGAAAAGAGACGTTTGGGTTAAGCCCCAGCTGTCAGACATTGCCATCACACCTTCGGGTGGTCCTGTGCATCTCTAGAGAGAGAGGCAGGAGGAGGCAGTCGGCAAAGTCCTGCTCTGTCATCCAGCTCTGTCTCTGCTCCTATCCCAGCACGAGCCAGCTGGGAAATCATGCTGTGGTCCAGACCCACAACAAAAGGAGCAGGAGTTGGGTTTTATTTGAGAGATCAGCATCTTCCAGAACGAGAAAAATCTAGGAAAGAGATGCCTTTCACCTGTAAAATGAGAGCTGGGCTTGGTAATGCAGGGGAGAGGAACAGTCAAAGCAGGAGGCAGGAGATGGTCCAGGGTTACCTGCATGGATTAACACCACCAGAGCTACAGGGTGCTCATCTTTTCCACTTCCCACGAGCATGGGGCATGCTTCAGAGACACCCAAACAATCTCTGAGATACAATCACAACTGCCTCAGGCACCTACACAGATGAGGACTTAAAAGCTCACATGGTGAAGGGGAAATCCCCACACTGGACTTTCCTCACTGAGGTTAACAGTGTCACCTGCCTCATGCACTGCAAAAAACACAAAGGGATTACGGAGATGACGAGCACAGAGCTCCCTCAGGAACTTGGGAAGCGTCCCTTGGTATCACAATAATCCCATTCCAGCTCACCACAACTGGAGCCACCTGGGCAGCACCTTTGGCCAAGACTGCACCAGCTCCCCACCCCCAGGGGCAGGAGAAGCCTTGGAGCAGACAGGACACCACGCAGCAGCTGCACACAGCTGCTCCCCTGGGGCAGTCACAGCTGCCAAATGGCACTCTGAACCTGGGCATGGCCACTGTTCCCGTTCCCCCAGGACATGTCCCCACCCCACATCCTGGGCACAGTCACCTGGGAATCAGGCGACCAGAGCAGGAACCTGTGAGCCACCTCACGGCAGTAAAGGATTAGGTAATGGTTTGGATGTGAAAGGCTTCTGCAAACACTGAGTCACTTTCACAAGGATCTGTAAGGACAAGGTTTGCTCTGGGCTCAGATAACCACATTTATGGTGGGGGTCAGGAGGCCAAAGGCCCAGCCCAGGACCTCATTTAAATGACCTAGAATGACTCACAGTTGCTCACACCATATTGACCTGCACATTCCAGAACATCCACTCCTCCTGCAGCTCTTCAGCCATGCTCTGGCTAATATCTCCTCCCAAAACCAGGCTACAGCTAAGCCTGTTTCCTCCACAGCAAGCAGAGTCTCTGATCAGACCCCCTCTAGCCCTTTCCCCCAAGGCAGAGGCAGCAAGCACACCCTACACTCCCACCCCGCTGCTGTGTGGATCTGTGCTGCTCCACAGGATGCTCTAGAGCCCGGCAGAGGAACAGCAGACATCCCTTTTCCATATCGAACAGGGTCTTCCCTTGCAAACCAGCACAACTGCTTCTGCTCCAGGCTGAGACAGCAAGGGAGCAGGGAAATGGGTGTCACGTTACTGAGGGCAGGATCTCCGGGGACTATCAGCAGCCACCAGCGGTGCAGGACAAAGAGCACAGAGCAGGATACCAGGGCAGCTCCCAGCGCTCCCGCCCAAGGTAAGCACGGCAGTGACGCCCGGGCCATCCGGCAGCTCCCAGTGCCAAGCCAACCCTCACAGCCCTCTCCTAGCCAGGAGAACAGTGACTGTTTAACCACAGGGCCCTGGGATCCCTGTGATATCCTGTTTCCTGCAGCAGGGCACAACCACAATGTGCCCAAACAGCCGTGGTGAGACACTGGCACGCTGGCTCCAGCCTGCCTGGTGTGCTGAGGTCTCTACTCTGCAGTTTTACAGAATATCTCCCTTCATTCTCCCCTCTCAGTGACACCTGCACAAACACACAGTAATGATTCTGTGAGTTAGAGATGTCTTTGGGAGTACAACCAAGGTGTCCCCCTGCCCCAGAGCTTAATGTGTTGTCTGTCCTCAGAGATACCAAAGACTCCATCAGGTTACCTGGGGTCTTGTCCCACCTAAGCTGCCCAGTTTTGAGAGAGGGATTTGGAACTAGAAACATCCAGAAATCCCAGACTGAATTATTCTCTATGGAGTCTCCAATACCAACAGCCATACGAGACACTCACTGATTCCAAGAGTTTTCTGTCCTGACAGGGGCTGTGGAGATTGATCACCACATGAAATTTTGCTTTTAGCAAGGTGCTTCCTGAGAAGAGACACTAGTTTTGAAGTGAGGAACAAGCAGGTGCCCCACAGCCACATCTGCAGATACTCATCACTGCAGGAAGAAGCAGATTTACCTCCTCTCACCAGAAGAGCCTTGCTGGAGGACAGATTTATTAAAACTACAGGGAGTTTCGTGGGATTAGCTTTGCCATAAACATTTTAAATTCGAAGCTATTAAGGATTATGGAGGAAAGTTGCCTGTCAAAATCCTTTCAACAAACTGGCTGACAGATGGAAGGTACACCTGTGGAGACAGCAGATTACCCCAGGGAGCTCACAGGGAACTTGTCAAAGCAGGAAGGGAGTCTTGTTAACCATATCACTGGTTTCTAGCAGGACTCAGACTCCCAGGAAGGAGCACTGCAGACATGGCCAAGATGTGACATGTGTGGGGACAAGAACCACAGCCCTCAGCACCAGGAGAGGGAAGAGGCTGTAGTCTCATACATTTCAGTTTGCAATTGAGCTGAGGAAGGAAGAACAGAAAACCATCTGGCTCTTGCATTCCCAGCAGGAAGAAAATGCAAGGTGCCCAAGACACAAGGTATCAGACAGCAGGGTACACTGAGCTGCCCTATCTGAGAAAAAGGCAGGAAAGATGTGTCCCAGGTTCAGCAGACTTTGAGGACATCTCTGCCCTCCGTCTGCCCAGAGCTGCCAGGAGCCTGCTGGCATTTCCTGCCACAGCCCCCTCCACACTGCAGACTGTGCAGTCACTGTCACTCTGCTCTTCCCACACCTCTGCACCAGCCTGTCACATGCACACGGGCCTGTGCCTTCTCTGCAGCCTGTGCTGGTCAAATAAATGCTGAATTTTTTTTCTTACACTGCAGGATACTGAAACAAAGTGAGTTCAATCAAGCCATAGGCTAAACAGCAGGTTCTGATATACTGAGTTTGTAGCATTGTACTGAATGCCTCTGATATAACATCAAACAAGGCAATATCCTTCATCAGGATCACATTGCAGCAGTCACATTATGGAAGGGCAGAACCTTCCCCCTCCCTTCTTAACTCAGACCCTGAAGGGGTCTCACCTCCCTGAAGAAGGGCAGTACCCGGATCAGATCCCCTGATGCCACTTCCAGCACTGTTACATGGAGTCAGAGACTTCAAATGGCCAAAGGAAAATCTTAATTTGGCATTAGAAGGGCTTGGCAGGAGCACAGAGCCATCAGCTGGAGTCTACCTGCTCTTTGGGAAGCTTAGGCAGTTTCGAATTTTACTTCCCTGGCTGCCAGCAGAGAACAGCAGAATTTGCTCTGCAAATCTCAGTAACTGTCCAGCCTCATCTCACTCTTGTGCCCATGGAGACTGAGGAGATGCATGAGCCTGAAATGGTGTCAAGTCCTGGATGTGGCATAAACAGCCAAGGACAAGGAGTTGATCCACATGGTGGAAACTTGATAGAGGAAAGTCTTTCAGCTATTCTGGAAAAAAAAAAAAAAAAAAGGAGAACACACCTGCCAGGAGCAGACTGCACAAGGACATCTAGGCAGGGAGTGCAGGGAGTTTGGCATGAGCAGTCCAGGCTGCCAGGCTCTGGCTGGGAGGCACGTTCCATCACCAAGCTGGAGGACGCTGCCAGTTCCAGTCTCACCAGTTCTCTGATGGCACAGTGTCTGCACCACCAAGACTCAAGTGCCCTTAAGCCACGGGAAAACTCTATGAGCTCACATTGGACAAAAATCACTGGAAGTTTAGGGTTTATGCTGCTTGGGAGACCAGGGGCTTGTACAAATCTCCAAGCCCTCTGATTTGCAACAAAGCACTGCAGAGGCAGCACCATCTCTGAGAAGTTTTTCCTGATTTTTCCACTACAGCTGGAGCTCTGACTCAGCACCCTGCCCAAAACCTGGCAGGCTCCTGGCATGCCCAAGGATCACATTGCAGCCAGGCAAGGTTCAGCCTCATGAGGAGAAGGCAGGGAGCAAGCAAAACTTTACCTGCCCTAATGTCAAGACATATAAACTCCAAAAGCCCGAGGGCTGGTTCTACAGCACCTTCTTTCTTAAGTATCCTTTTCTGGAAGTATCCCTATTAATAGGTTTTGGTGAGACCCATGGGGAAGGTTTGCTCCCAGAGAACAGCAAGTTAGGTTGTTAGGGGCTTATTCCAGGACTCCCATCCTCCACTTCTCACTTTGTGTGAGTAGGTCTGAGTATCCATCAGGATATGATCGTTTCTGAGGTCCCTTCAGTGACTGCAGTGAAGGTCCATCACAGGACTTAGTTCTACCTGTTTATCCTTGTACACTTTTCACTTAGTTTGATAATTAAGTGTCCACTCATTTACAGCTTCTGCCTGGCTTTGATGTCTTATCTTCAAGCAGACAGCACTGGCAAGCTGACAGGACCCAGAGATCCTTTCCTGGGGAATACCATCAACATCTGACAGTTTAACCCATGTTATAAATCTCAACGCTTGCTCTTATTGCCTAAAAGAGAATCCAAATCCTTCAAGACATCAGACAACTACAAAACAGTGGAGCTTTCCTGGAGAGACAGAGACAGCCATGAGAACTTCAAACTGTTCACTGAGAACAGCTTCTAAAGATCACCAGAGCTCCTCTCCCACCAGGATACACAACATCCATCTCCTCCCCAGCACTCGTGCTTCCTGTTCTATCTGCAGCTCCTGCACCATGTAATTAAGTTTGTTATCTCTCCACACAAACCCCAGCAAGAGCCTTGTTTTCCTTCACATGCAGCTGGTTAGTCTGAACTCTGGCCTGAAGGTCCCTTTCTCCGTTTCATTTTTTGAAA